AAACATGGGGCGCATCTTCATTTAGGCATGCCTTAATTTCAATTTTGAATTCAACCACTATTTCTAATTATATCAGCAATACACTTATCAAATAACGTGCAACAAATTATTGATTATTGTATTGTTATCGGGAGCTGAGCTTCCCTAAAAGTTTCAGAGCGCTAGCTAATGGGAAAGTTGGTGAAATATCGATTGCAAGATTTGATCATCACAGACACGAAAGCGAGCTAAGAAAAACGTGGTAAAATAGACATATTTGTGTAAACTAAACGTCTTCTACCTTGATTGTTTCAAAACTTGTAGGAGCCACAAATAAAATTTGCCGCGCCAGTTTACAAACCAAAGAGTAGGTAATTAGGAGTCAGTACATTGTGAGATCGTAACCTCTGTGCCGGTCAATCGCATTTAAGATCTTTCTAAACAGGCGAGTTAATTCATGTCAATGATATACCGCCAAAACTTTTATAATTATCAATGTGGTTGAACGACGTAAAAAATTTCATTTTACCGCTCCATTCACCGGCAGTCAGATAAAATTTAGATTCTTCAAAATGAAATTGAATTTCATCTGAAAAATTGTACATTTAGATCGATTAATGATAAATTAAGTTCATGAATAACATGCTACGAGAAATGTGACGCCGTCAAGTACGGAGAGCGCGGCCGCGATGAAGACACAGCGCTCTTCGCCGCTAACGAAAGTAAACCTGTCACAGATGAGCAGATCCGGGGCACTTCTTGCTGCACATTGTCAGCTCACCCACAAGCCCCCAACCTGGACGTATCCACCTACGAATCAAAGAACAGCCGGTAGCCTTCACACGCTGCCTCACTGGTGTTACGTGAGCGATTTGTCGCATTTCTGTGTAGCAGCTCTCGAAGCCGAAGACTTGAATTGCTTCATTCCTAACAAACTTTGCTTTTTTAAGTTTTTAATAAACATAGCATTCATTCATCTAGGTTTCTTTCTTAACTGTTAAAATTTAAAACGAAGTAGTACAGCAAATGCAATTCATGTTTTAGAAGGAGATAACATTAGATGTATGGATGTTTATTCTTTGCCGGTCAGATTAACAATTAATTACGGAGCGGATTCTTCTAGCCAATGCTAAGCTTGTGTATCTAAAAGTTTTTTCTTCTTATATCGTCTTGTATTTTCTATGGTTAAAGGGCCTCTAGGTTACTACAATTTCATCATTATAGTTATTTTCTTGCGTTTATAAGGCGAAATAATGAGTTTAGCGTCTCATGCAGGTGACGCTACTGCACATGTATGAGACGCCACACCCGTATATTGTATCTCGTTCATAGAACAGAATAGCGCCAAGAGTCGCTTACATGAAGGATGTCTTTCTAGTGCCTAAGTTTGGTCATTACGTGTCTCTGAAGGAGCTGTCAACCTCGCATCACTTTCTCTTTACGAGCTCCAACACTTGCGTCGAAGACTCAATAACCGCACCCGTTTCAGCTCCAGCCATGCGACTTGAGGCGGCAACTTCTGCTTCTTAGTTCACACATGGTCATATTAAATTGAGTTATAAATTGATGACATTGAATTATGTATAAGCGACAAGCCCACAACCGCCTAATCGACGCTGATATCGTCGCCTTATCACCGCTTTAAGTATATTTATGAACTGAGTGGTGTAACAAATGATTCATTCTGCTGGAATATTTTACTTTGAAATCAATTTACCTGTGAGGACTTAATCCGCAACATTTTAGGGACGATGACTAGTCGAGATTTAGTTGATGCACAGAGGTTGGTCTCCAATCGTGATTATTTGAATAGTTTGCACAATGATTTACTGACATATTTGACTGAGAGAGATGGTTACTATTAAAATCTCAGTTTTAATGTATTAGGAATTTTTGTGCGTTTCCTTTGGCCATTAAGTATTAACGGATTCGCCCAGCTTTAGAATAGAATAGAATAGAATAGAAGTGTCGGCGTTGAAGAAATAGGCCCATGGCCTGTTGCCGATTCTTGAAATTTTCGTGACTTGATTCACAAGGGATCCGGCCTTTGGAACCCGATCTTTCCATAGCTGACGATTGATTGAGATAGCTACTGGACTTATTGCCTGGTCCGTAATTTGCTAGGCATTTCAAGACTGAACATATGCTCCTGCATAGCTTCGTCTAGTCTGTTTTTGAAGATGTTCATACTCGGAGCGTCAACGATGCTATCAGGGAGGCTGTTCCACATGTCGGTGACTCGAAGCGAGAAGAAATCACAACAGATTCCATTACCTTGCAAACGACACTTGTCAAACTGACAGGGCGATAGTTGCCCGGGCAGCTTTTGTCACCTTTTTTGAACGATGGTGTCACTTGAGCTTCTTTCCAGTCAGCCGGCAAAATTCCTTCGTTCAATGTTTTTCGAAAAAGTGACGTCAGAGGTCCGGCTAGGACAATTGCTAACTCTTTGAGTAATCTGGGGTGGAAGCCGTCTGGTCGTCCACATGACTTGTTTGGGATAGATAGGATCTGTTGAGGAATCTATAGAAAACGTTACAATTTTCATGTCTGTTAAAATTTTCATTGATAAAAAAGTTAAAAATCGGAAATGAGAATCAAAATTTATTATTTAAATATAACGCTTCCCTACGTTATCTAATGTCACAATGTCACAAAATTTCAACACTAAAATAAGTTTCCCAGGTATTATCCCGACTCGGTAAGAATCGTGAATACGCGCACTATCGGCTTCTATGTATTTTCGGTGCCAGGATTCCAACGCACAAACAAACTTTTACACACATAAGATTATTCGAATTGTCTGTTCTTCTTTCATTGTTAGTTTTAGAAGAAATTGCTTTCATATCCTCGTAACTGTCAATCACGAGCAGATGACGAACAAAGAACGTCGTATCCTACTATAGAACAATGACTGCCTTGATGTCGTCTTGGGTAACAGGGGAATTAAATCGTCGTATCGTCGATAATTTGCTTCGCTCCCATGCACCACAGTCAAACCTACCCGTCAATTGTCACACGGTGACAATTCCCGCAGCTGACTCGGCAAAAACAGCCCAACTCGGAAGAAAGTTAGAGGAAATCCTAGCCTAGGTGTTCTTGTAAGAGGTACTAGGACTTGCGTAGGGTGTGACCAATGATGATTAAATGACTTTTAAGGGTAAATGTCTTGAAAAATCAATAATTTCATTTATGTGTTTTTTTCTGTTTTCTTATAAATATAATATTAATTTGAATCGATAATTCAAATTACAGCGTCTTCATGTATTTCATTTTTCAAGTATTTTGAGATTTTATCATATCATGAGTGGGTATGGTTTTGATTCTTAACGTTCGATGTCAGAGTTAGAAGAACAAAATAGCTGTATCCATATGACCATACATTTTGATTTCCTAGTACTTGCATAATTAACGAAGCTATACAGAAAATACTAGTTCTTTCTGGAACAAATAGAAAATTGTCTGACAATGGGTTACTGAAGAAAAAAAGAGTTGCTAACCAATTGGCTGGCCGTTTCCGTTGCCGATCTCGTTTCAGCCGACGAAGGTTTTTTTTCATCCATACCGTCGAATGTTAATCAAACTTAACATTCGTAAAAAGTAATTTAAGTTCTATAAATGCCTAAAAAATTGTTGTTGATAAAATTCTATAAAGAGTGTTGTCTTTGCAGTTTCAATTGAGAGCATTTAAAATTTCGAGTATTTGTAGCGGATCTCGCTACATAAAACTAAATTACGCATGTCATACCTCGCTACATAGAACTAATTTTATGTAAATCATATCTCGCTACGTAGAACTAATTTTTATGTTTCTCATAATAACATTAATATTAATACTCTTTACAGTACTTTTATTACATTACTTTCACTTATCGTATTAATAAGTAGAAAATAATGTAATAAAATTATTTCTACTTGTTAATCCGATAAGTGAAAGTAATGCAATAAAAGTACTGTTAAGAGTATTAATATTAATATTAGTATGAGAAACATAAAAATTAGTTCTACGTAGCGAGATATGATTTACATAAAATTACTTCTATGTACCGACGTATAATATGCATAATTTAGTTTTACGTAGCGTGATCCGCTACACATTCACATCTCATTTTTAAACGGGCCTGGCTGATGTAGCTCCATAAGATTGGTTTCATCCGCATCATAGGAGGATGTTAATGCTTCTTTTCTTTTCTTTTTCATTGGGGAACTGTAGCGGCTAGGTATAATGTTAGTGTTAGTTAGTCAACTGGAAATAATTAGAATTAGAGTTGAATGTTACAATTAAAATTATGTCCAAAACTGAACGTCAACTTAGAACGCAACGTAAGCAATTAAATAACTACCTACGTTCCAACTTTTAGTATTTAAAATTCATTCAATCAGACCCTCTTATCAGAAAACGTACGAACGTATAGAAGTGCTTTTATGAGCTTAATGACTAGCTTGAATTAATTTGGATATTTCTACTTGTTAATAGTGAATCTATTTGAACTTGTAGCTATAGCAATGTACGCATGACTTGTTCATGCAGACACTGTTCAACTCCTGCATACAGCACAAGGTTGCAAGAAAAGCTTCTTCATTTTCCCAAATCAATTAGCCACAGACGCTTCAGAACCTTAGATTGGTAGGCTTCACGACTACTTGGATTGACTTGGACGTTTCTTTAATTCGCAAATCGACATTGCAGAATGCCCACAAATTTTATAAGCAATAAATTTATTGTAAACAATGCACGGATAAGTTAAATTCCGTTTTTTGTTGTGATTCTTCATTCTTATCAATATATCCAAAGTAAGATCAATTATTACATGCAAGTTTTCAATCTATTTTATTTTATTTTTAATCTATCTATCTATAATCTATTATACCTATTATAAGAACTTTAATTTTTTTATCATAAATTCAAAGAATGCCTTCTCGAACAGCTTTGAGAGGAGAGGATCTAGAGTTAGATTTTTATAATCAAGTTTAATCTTCAATGTTTTGACAACAATTATTTTGTTCTCTTTCATGTGGAGGTTGTGACGATGAAGGACAAGCGACGAGGAAGCGAGGACTGGTACCGGCCCTGGGTTATTCGGCCAGACTTACTCCGCGCTCCTGACCGCACGGTGCGGACCCCGACGGGGTTAGGGCGCGACACTGGCATCCCTAAAGGTCGGAGTTCTTCGTCGACGCGAATCAACGACATCGGCGCAAAACTTGATATTCTTGAGCGAGGGCCGACAGCTCTCAACCGCATGACTGCTGGCTACTCCCTCGCCAACCTCTCACAATTGACCGAAGATTTTCCGATGGACGCTACTGGTCGCTTCCACAGTCTCTGTTATACGCCCGAATTGTCACTTAATCGAAGTTTAGAAGACACTATTGAGGACGAGGAAGATGAAATTAGTCTTTTTTCTTTGCAACTTAGCCCAAGAGGGGATAAAAGTCATACTTCGCATTTTTTTGCCAAACAGAAGATTGTTCAGAAAACGCTTTCACTGCCGTTCAAATACTTTGAAAACGAGTGGAGTGAGAGCAACAAACATTCCTATAGCCTGGGACGTGAAGGTCGTTCATCAATTTTGACAAACAAGACTCCTAACCGGAGGCCACATACACGCCGCTGCCCCTCGCCGCACGCCAAGATCGCTAATGGCGTTTTCTTGCCTTCGGAAGCACGCGACGAAGCCGATGCTGTTTCGCTCAACAAACTCCTCAACTCCAAGAAGAAGGCGGCTTCGCTGGGTAAGTACAGACTTCATTTTCATGATAGCTTGAGATAGCGGTTGTGTTTCCTGTGACTGTGAATTTATAAAACCTGCTTTTCGAATAACTCCCTTTTACCTTCCCTAAATCCATGTTCCTCTCAGATAGCCCCGGTGAATTTATTTAGCAAATCTAGACTTGTTACGGTAATAAATGCTCGACCTTGGGAAGAAAGACTAGACGAAAACCGTGCTGAGCTGTGTTGCCTACACATGCCATCCTTGACCTTTCTTGGAAGTGCCGTTGCGGTATATGTGGGATAACCCCAAAACATAGCCTCGCCGCAGCGATTACGGTTATCTTACCAACCAAGGAAAGTTTGTCTCAGGAAAATGTTTCTAAGTGCGAGTCAACTCGTCCAACTTTGTCCACGTTGGAAATTTAATTTGTTGAGAAATTCTTCCTCGCGCATTCTTCAACTTCCTCCATCGTATCATGAAGCTGCCTTTGTCACCTGCTGCCGCCCGACTAGCGATCTCAATCTGCCCACATTGCTTGGGCAGGTTTTAAAATTCGAGCTCTGTTCAGAAATTTTCAGTACCGTACATGACTTCTGGTTCATCGAATATTCCTGCACTTATTATATTATTCACTCACATTTAATAATATTCGCGTTACAAATATCGAAATTAGCTTCAATCTAATTATTTCTTAGTCATCTTTATTCTGTGAATAAAAATTTACTGTGACGAACAATGCTTTATTTTGTAGTTGCGAAGACATATTGAGAATAAAATGCATTTAGCATTTACCGCATTGCTCTGCAAACTTATTAGTTTGTTCGACCCTGCATCGTCGTGCGGCTGACATTGATCAGCGTACGCGGTGCATTTAATCAAGTTGTCCTCCTCAAGACGGATCAGTGTTTCTAGCGGGGATTTTGCATGAGCTTTGCCGCGACAAGCTAACGAGCGAAGCGTGTATGGGATACGAATATTCTTTTATTCGTGCATGACACGTCAGCTTATGCATAACATGAATAAGTGCTAAGGAATCGAGCTGTTCTTCATGCATTTTGCATGAACCTCTCATGTCTCCAGCTGTTGGGCGTCATCAATTCTCCGGTCACATTCGTTTGCATCTCTAATTGAGGTATTCTGATGACTTGGCTCTAAACTGATCTACGTTAATGAAATAAGTCAATCGTGTTTATTCAATAAACCCATTTTCATGAATTTAATAAGGAGCTTGACAATTTATCACGGAATTAAATTCTAACTTTTCGAAGTAAGTTACGAAATATTTCTGATATACCTTGCGTCACTTTTTGTGCGACTCCTCGATGCTCAGGTTTTCGTTCGTAAAATTGGAAGTCTGAATGTCCTCGAAAGGTCCTTGCATATGACTGCAAATAACAAGACGCCATCACAGTTCGAGAAAGAATTTGTTGAGCTTCACTAACGTTGATGATTTTTAAAAACTCGATTAATATTTAAAAAACTGAGTCGGAGAATTAACCTATTGACAAAAACGAAGCCATGTCATGCCGCTCCATACTGTGTAATTGAAGTCGATCAAAGCTTATATAGACATTTTAAATTTATAGTTACGCGTTTGCACGAAAGCTCGGAGATAGTGACTATGAAGTTCCCTATAGAGCGATATCACTTCCTTCTTTTTTCGTTGGTTGGAGATCGAAGCTTTAGAAAAGACAATGTATGCGCAGAACCTGCTCTTAGGAATGCCCAGCATCATGTGGCGATAAGGTTCCTCAAAAGCGACCTAAACGTCTGGAGGGCAGATTTATGTGTTGCCGAGACCCCTGCTATCAGATGTGGCTTGCAACGTTGGCCGTGGCACCGCCGCTTGGTTCTTGTTTGCTTAGTAACTGTGAACTTCCTCCGTAGGTATTTTGGATACCGGGATGTGGGATTATTCGACACCCAAATAACTTTTTAATTTCTAAGGTGAATTATTGAGGAGAGGTATCACCGTTATGGTGACATCCGTTATCTTGGATTTGAACATCGAATGTTATCTGGATTCATGATGTGTTTGTTGGCCAACACAACACGCGCATTGATGTGTGTTGTGTTGTTAAGAGACACTTAGATAAATTATAATAGACACTAATAGTTAAATTATAACCAGATATTTCTTCATTCACTCGAAACGTTGATTTATCCTAGGCACTTTCGAATTGTTTTTCATGATACTCGTGTGTCGCTACGTCATGAAAAACAAATTTTTGAATGAAAACATTTCTTTCAAATAAAACCATTGATTTGTTGTTAGCTCGTTTCTTCCAACATATGTCCCCGCAGAACTGCAGGATTCTCTCACTTGAGTTCGATGGTGTTACGTTTCTTGGCTCGCAAAGACCGCAGTCATCTTGACAACAAATAGCGGACTTAATCTGTGTCATCAGATGCTTTCACTTTCTGTGACTTATGGTCGTTGTTATATTCAGTGGTTGCTTTATTAAGTGCCTTATTCGTAACGTTACAATGATAAAGCCTTAAACTTCCATACATGTCAACTAGCGCCTATCTAGGCGCCTTTTCCTTGTGCGTCGCTCGAGTCAGAAAAAATTGAATTTAATTCTTGATGGCGTCGAGAGTCCTATTTTAAAAGAAATTTACCGCGTGCAAGGAAACCTAAATATTTGTTTACATTTTCATTCATGAAAGAGTTTTCATATTTAGTTTACTTTAGAACAACGATTATCTGCCTGAAATGAATAATGCATGCTCTACCTGATTCATTCGCATGCCATGCAGGTTGCTTTTTACCATTGAGGTTTTTCAATGCCAAACCCTGTGATTCAGTTTCCTACACGCGAGATTTGGAGTCAACAGGTTACGTTATTAAACATGTAATCAAGCGCGTGTTCACCAAAATATCAAGAATTTTTTAAGTTACCGCTGTCAGATATTTCTGTAACAGAAGACAATAACGTATCTTCGACCCATCCAGACATGTGTTCACAAATTATTCCATCTTATAATAAGCAAAATTGAAATACACGTATTAAATAATGACGTTCTTTCTCGATTTGTAGATATACGATGACGTTCTTTCTCGATATGTAGATATACGATACGAAGTGAACGAATCGAAGTGACCAAATCCCTCAGAAAGACGTGCTACAAACGTAACAAAGTAAACGCGTGTTAATGAGTTTGTGAAAAGGGAAAGCGATAGAATATAACGACTGTGTTGGAGGAAGTTGAAAACAGAGACAGAAAGGGCATCGTCGGTTGGGAAAATTTATGAAGCAAACGAAGGTTAAAAATTTATTGACGAAGTGTGACGAGAGCAGGGCTTAGGAGAAAATGACGGAGTGAGAGTACGAGGCAGGGCGTGATGGAACTTAAGTTAGTGGGAGAGAGAGGGAAAGAATGACCGCGCGGGTGAAGTAACAGTGTGGGGGAAAGAGGAAGCTAGAAGGCCGGATATACTGATCTTGTGGGAGAAAGGCCTGCAGAGTAAACAAAAGAGAGGGGAGTGTGATTGAGCGGGTGCGAGAAGGAGGCAAAAAGTGTGATAGTGAGACTGTTTGGGGAGAGAAGTTGACAAAAGAGGAGGAAAATTAACGTGTGCGCGTGAAAGAGAGTAAGAGAAGGAGACATGGAGAAAGAGAGTTGCAAAATGATTGAGTGGGTAAGAAAAGAAAGGCGGACAGAAGGATAGACTGCCGTGTGTGGCGAGATGGAGGCAAGCGTAGAGAGAGAATGATAGTGTGATGAATAATAGTGTATAGTGAGATAGACAAAGAGGTGAAGAGAGGAGAAGGGCAGAGAGAGGAGAGAATGACCGAGTGTGAGAGCTGAGGGGGCGGGAGCAAGGGAGTGGGGGACCGGGTGGAGGGGCAGCGTGGGAGGGGGCGGTGGGTGGTGCTTGTGTATCCGGTGAGTTAGGGTGTTGGTTCCCATCCGCCTACAGCATGACACGCTAGCTGTGGTGGGCAGCGGGCTCATTATGCTCGCCATGTGTAGCGTGATGCGCATGCTGGTCATGTGTAGCGTGACGCGCATGCTGGTCATGTGAAGCGTGATGCGCATGCTGGTCATGTGAAGCGTGACGCGCATGCTGGTCATGTGTAGCGTGACGCGCATGCTGGTCATGTGATGCACACTTGCCATGTGTAGCAAGACGTGCACACTTGCCATGTGTAGCAAGACGTGCACACTTGCCATATGTAGCAAGACGTGCACACTTGTCATTTGGTGTGTTCCCAAACAGCTTATGTCTTCCTGTGATTGACATGGGCATTCTTCTTTCTATACGGATTCGGATTATCAAGCAAGCATAACAGTGAAATTTCTCAGGAAATGTATCGTTGGATTATTTCTATGAAAATTTAGCTGAGTTACAACGTTCTTTTTTTTTCTGAAGTATTTACAAGTGCTACTGCGCCTTACTCATCTTCGTACTTGTGTACAAAGGTGCTCCCGAAAAATGACACCGAATGCTGTCAATCCGCAAATTGGTTTAACGATGTTTACTCCTGATAGGATTAATCCGGGATTCCATCTGCAATTTATTCAGTAGCCTGCTGACGGATGTTTTCTAAAGTGTCTTGACACTTATGAGGCTTAGTGTCATGCAAACTCGGTTCGATGTCGTAAAAACGCATTCAAATGTATGGACGTTGCAGAGTGCAGACTGAAGGATTGTTCTGCCGTGTCGTGTCAGTGTGCGGGTTGCCGCCGTGTTGTGTGGGTGGGTTGGTAATGTCTCTTCCCAAGGAGACCGTTCGCACGTGAAGTTCTGTTAGGTGCAAGCATCTTCTTCTTTCTTGACATTTAATGAGAATGAACTGTGTGTTCAACTTTTGATCGTTAAGAACCTTATCGTTGGTAGATGCCAGAACTCATTCTACTTACACAGTAATGAGTGTCTTGAATGAATTTGTTACTGATTGCACTTTATTTTAATCGTGTGCACAACGAGTTTGTGTGCTGGACAAATACTCTAATGTGTGTAGTGCGACCTACACTGCAGGGAGCAAACATCGCCTCACGTTTCGCGTGGTC